TAATAATAATAATAATAATAATAATAATAATTTTATTTTAAAGTTTGCAAAACACTTTTGAAATATAAATAGTATTATGTATACTATTTATGTATACATATATACATAATAAGCATATGATTTAATAAGCAACAGAACAAGATGGCTACAGGAGTGTACAATACATGTTTATTCCCTCCACCCCGCCTACCAAGTAATATAATTAATATTCTAATAAGATCATGTCTTAAATCACTCCTGAGAAAATTCCCTGAGATTACATAAACCTTGATCCTTCAATTAAAAATTAAAAAATCCTACTTAGATATGTTTTAAAGTAATCCATAAAATTAGGTGATAGGAAGAAAAGCAGCAAATCTGATTTGCAACATATAATTAAATAGTCACTGAGCATTACTGTTGGGAATTAACCATAATCTTATTGTAAGGAACCACCTCAGCTAACATTCCAAGAAAGCAGAACTCTTGAAACAGACATTGTCTCAAAAGAAACTTTTATTAGGGGTTAGTGGCAGTAGGGAAGTCAAGGCGAGATCTGGGGAAAATCCCGCTTAAACGGTATAGTTAAACTAGCAATCTTCCTCCTCCCACCAAAGTCATAATGTCCATTTGAAATCCAGCCAATCCACAGGTGGCATGATGTTTGGGTAATTGGCACAGTTGGCACACATCTCAAGGTCTTCTCCAGTTTTGTTTCTCCATAACTGTCCCCCTAATAAAGGAGACACATTCTTCTCTCAAGTAGATGGAGGCAGGAGAAAAAAATTAGAAAGTGAAAGTTATCCCAAGTGAAAGCAAATCCCCCACCCTCCCAGAAGAACGGCAGGCCCCAAATAAAAGCACATATATAGGAAAAACAATAATGGTTTGGGGATCTGACATACAGCCCCCCTAGAAGAATGGGAAATCCACCTAGAAAACAGAAAAAGGAAGGGGAAAACAAACAATATAGACATTTCAATGAGGTTTATCAGGATATTTAGTATGAAAACATTTGAGAAGTCTAGCGGCCCTAACATGTTTCTTGTACACCCATTCATTCTGGGTGGAAGAGAGATTCTTCCATGCTACTAGATATTTTGTTACCCCATGATGTGTATGAGAGGCTAAAATGTCTTTAATTTCAAAGTGTTGTTCACCCTCAACCACGATAGGCATGGGCACCTGAGGTGCAGGAGGCCTAAGGTTAAAAGTAACCTCCGGTTTGAGTAAGCTGCAGTGGAAAACAGGGTGGATTTTCTGTAGGTTCTTTGGCAAGTCTAATTCAACCGTCACAAGGATTGATGATGCGTTTGTCAGGAAAACATCCTACAAACTTAGGGCCTAATTTCTTTGAAGGTTGTAAAGATTGCAAATACTTAGTGGAGAGGAATACTCTGTCTCCAACTTTATATGGGTTTTGTTCCACCCTTTGTTTATCAGCTTGAGTTTTATAGGCTTCCCTAGCTTCACCTAGAGCTTTCCTGACTACTGGCCAGGTATTCTGTAACTGTTTAATCCATTCCTGCAGAGAGGGGATTTCAGGCTCCTTAGTAGGGAGTTCAGGCATGGCCATGAATGTTTGACCATTAGCTACTTGAAATGGAGTGAAACCTGTACTGGAGTGCACAGCATTATTATAAGCAACTTCAACAAATGGCAACAAGTCTGACCAATTGTCCTGCTGATAATTAATAAAACATCTCAAGTATTGTTCTAGAACTGAGTTCGGTCTCTCTGTCCCCCCATTCGTTTGAGGATGGTGGGAAGATGACAACCCTTGACTAGAACCCATCAAGTCCAGAAAGGTTTTCCAGAACTTAGAGGTGAATTGAAGCCCTCTGTCTGAGATTATGTGTTATGGGGCCCCATGAAATTGATATATGTTTTGCACAAAGTTTTGCTAAAGTCTTTGCAGTTGAGATCTTGGGACATGGAATGAAGTGAACTTGTCTAGAGAATAAATCCATTATGACCCAAATTACAGTGTTTCCAGCACTTTCAGACAGTTCCACAATAAAATCCATAGAGATCTCTCTCCAGGGTGCTGACAGACTGAGTACCGGTTGAAGCAGTCTTGGATATTTCCCTTGTTGCCATTTAGCTGCTGCGCATGTGGGGCAGCTGGCTACATAGCTTTCTATGTCCTTTTTCAATGCAGGCCACCAAAATTGCCTCTTAATGAGATGTAAGGTTTTTACAAATCCAAAATGTCCAGCAGTTTTCGAGTCATGCCCTGCTTGCATTACTTTAAGTCTTAAGGCTGCTGGGACATAAAGTTTTTCTCCAATCCAGGCTAATCCATCTTTTAACAGACATAGGTTATTATGATTTCAAAACCACTCATCAGTTTCTAACGAAGTTTTAAAATCCTGTAACAAAGATTTTTCCACAGGGGCCACAGATCTCGACTGGGCCCTGGTGGTTACCATGGCTGCTAATTGACGAGGATGTCACTTCTGCTTTCTTGCTGTTACATTGTGGTAGTCTGGACAATGCGTCAGCCAAAACATTCTTTCCCCCAGGGAGGTAATGGATAGTGAAATCAAAATGATGAAAATATTGGGACCACCTTGCCTGTTTGGGTGAGAGTTTCCTGGGAGTTTTCAACACTTCAAGATTCTTATGATCAGTCCATACTTGAAATGGTATTTTACTCCCTTCCAGGAAATGCCTCCAAGTGAGGAGGGCCCATCTTATAGCATAGGCCTCCTTCTTCCAAGCTGCCCACCTTTGCTCAGTTTCTAATAATTTCCTAGAGGTGTAAGCACAAAGTTGCAACTATCCTTCTTTATTTCTCTGTAGTAAAACTGCTCCCACAGCCACATCGCAGGCATCAGCTTGGATTATAAATGGTTGTTCTAGGTCTGGATGTTTCAAAACCGGCTCCACAGAAAAAAGTCTCTTTAGTTTTTCAAAAGCTGCTTCATACTCTCCTGTCCATTTTAATGGTTGACTGGGCTTTGGCGTATCCCCGCCTCGGGTTTTTAATAAGTTTGTGATTGGGAGAGCAATCTGTGCAAAAGATGGGATGAATTGTCTGTAAAAGTTCACAAATCCTAAGAAACTTTGGAGTTGTTTCCTGGTTTTTGGAGGAGCCCAGTCCAAGACTGCTCTCACTTTCTTTGGGTCCATCTCTACCCCCTCGTTGGATATACGATAGCCCAAGTAATCAATACGATCTTTGTGGAATTCACACTTTGACAATTTGGCATACAGTTTGGCAGAGCGCAGCTTTTTTGAATACTGCTCTGACTAGCTTAATGTGTTCATCTTTGGTTTTGGTGTCAATAAGGATATCATCCAGGTAAACCAAAACTCCTTCATACAGGTGCTCATGTAGAACTTCGTTGATCAATTGCATGAACACTGCAAAAGGAGAACTTTAAATTGGAAGCAACCCAATGGGCAGTTGAAGGCAGTTTTCCATTCATTCCCTTTCTTTATTCATATGTGATAATAAGCTTCTCTCAAGTCTAGCTTGGGAAAAAAATCCCTTTTGACAAGTGTGCTAACATGTCTTTCATTAAATATAGTGGGTACATGTTTTCCACACACATAGCATTCAGACTCCTATAATCTATGCATAGATGAAGAGAGTCATCTTTCTTTTCTCTGAATAATACAGGGGCTGCCACCCGGGTCTAGCCGGCTCTATAAAACCCCGCTCTAAATTCTTTTTGATAAACTTTCCCAGTTCATCTAATTCCCTGGGAGTCATAAAGTACATTTTTGGCTTGAGCAGTTTCATGCCTGGAATGATTTCAATCACAGTCTGTGGGCCGGTGAGGGGGGAGTTCGTCTGCTCTCTGTTTGTTGAATGCCTCAGCCAAATCTCATTATTCTATTGGGAGGCTTTGCAGGTCTGATTCACTGAAGGCGGAGGCAAAATTGTGGCATAATCCACACCTCCTGCCATTTTTTTAGAGACGGGCAGGGCTTCCCCCTGTGGGAATTTTAACCGTCCTTCACTCCAGTTGATCATGGGGTTAGGGTTAGGGTTAGGGTTAGGTGGCACAATGTTTGGTTAACTGGCACAGTTGGCGTGCATCTCATGATCTTCTCCAGTTTTGTTTCTCCATAACTGTCTCCCTGATAAAGGAGACACATTCTCCTCTCAAGTGGATGGAAGTGGGAGAAGAAAATTAGAAAGTGAAAGTTATCCCAATCAAAAGCCCTCCCAGAAGAATGGCAGGCCCCAAACCAAAGCACATATGTAGGAAAAAACAATAATGGTTTGGGGATCTGATACATATGAGT